ATGATGTCGAGCATCTTTTCATGCGTGTGTTGGTCAGTTGTGTGTCATCTTCTAAGAAATGCCTGTTCGTGTCATTCACCCACTTTTTAATTGGGGTTGCTTTTCTCTTGCTGATTTGATTGAATTCCTTGTCGATTCTGGGTGTCCTTTGTCAGATGGACAGTTTGCAAACATTTTCTCCTATTATTTAGGTTGTCTGCTTACTCTGTTACTTCTTGTCCTTTCCGAGTCTGTCTCTGTCGACTGATTTTCCTCCTGGCTTGGGGGGATAGTGTCACCTTTTCCTGCTGCTTCACGGGTCTGGAGGGTGGTTTTTGGAAGCCGAGTGTTACAGGTGGCCCCCTGCCTGGCAGCCTGCACCAGGTGACCGTCACTGAGAGGGTGTTGGGTTTTTTTTGTTGGAGACAGTCTCACTCCGTTGCCTGGGCCAGAGTGCCGTGGTGTCAGCCTCGCTCACAGCAACCTCCAACTGGGCTCAAGCGATCCTCCTGCCTCCAGCAAAAAAAAGCCAAACAAGAACAGATGCTGGCGAGGATGTGGTGAAAAGGAAATGCTCCCACACTGTTGGTGGGAATGTAAATTAGGGCAACCTCTATAGAAAACTGCGTGGAGATTCCTCAAAGAACCATTAGAAAAGTAGGCCGGGCACAGTGACTCAAACCTGTAAACCTATTAATAGCACTTTGAGAGGCTCAGGAGGGAGGGTCACTTGAGGCCAGGAGCTTGAGGTCAGCCTGAGCAACACAGTGAGACCCTGTCTGTGTAAAAAAATATTACAAATTAGCCAGGCACGGTGGTGTGTGCACCTATAGTCCCAACTACTCAGGAGGCCGAGGCAGGAGGCTTGTCTGAGCCCAGATATTTGAAGCTGGGGTGAGCTATGATGATGCCACTGCATTCTAGCGCAGGCTACACAGAGTAAGACCCTGCCTCAATTAAGAAAAAAAAAAAAAAAAAAAAGAACCAAATCTACCATTCGATCCAGTAATCCCACTTCTGGGTAAATACCCAAAGATGACATTTTATTAAAAAAGATACTGCACATGTGTTTTTTTTTTTTATCACAGCACAATTCACAACTGCAAAGATATGAAACTTGTTCTGTAATACTGGCAATGACACCCAATAAAACAAGCCACCTAATATGCAAAAAAAAAAAAAAAGATATGAAACCAACCAAAGTGCTCACCAACTCATGAGTGGATAAAGAAAATGCAAGGCCGGGCGAGGTGGCTCACGGCTGTAATCCTGGCACTCTGGGAGGCCGAGGCAGGCGGATTGCTCGAGGTCAGGAGTTCGAAACCAGCCTGAGCAAGAGTGAGACCCCGTCTCTACTATAAATAGAAAGAAATTAATTGGCCAACTAATATATATAGAAAAATTAGCCGGGCGTGGTGGTGCATGCCTGTAGTCCCAGCTACTCGGGAGGCTGAGGCGGGAGGATTGCTTGAGCCCGGGAGTTGGAGGTTGCTGTGAGCGAGGCTGACGCCACGGCACTCACTCTAGCCTGGGCAACAGAGCGAGACTCCGTCTCAAAAAAAAAAAAAAAAAAGAAAAGCGACATCTATAGGCAGATACGCACACGCCCCATGAAACGCTACTCAGCCATGAAAACGAATGCGCTGATGTCTTTCGCAGCAGCTTGGATGGAATGGAATCGAAATGTCTCAGAACAGAAAACCGGGCACCACAGGTTCTCGGAGTGGGCGCCGCGCCCC